ATTAAGACTTTTGTGCAATAACTGACCATGTTTTGGATTTTCCTCATTTATGGTAAGAACTTTAAGGACTGAAGAACCATCAACTACTACTAAACATGTTTGTGAATGTGTAAAGGTAGAAACCCCTGTAGATTTGTTCAATTCCAACTAAACAGATCTCTCTGGTCTCTCTCTCTGGTCTCTCTCTGGTCTCTCTCTGGTCTCTCTCTGGTCTCTCTCTCTGGTCTCTCTCTCTGGTCTCTCTCTGGTCTCTCTCTGGTCTCTCTCTCTGGTCTCTCTCTGGTCTCTCTCTTGTCTCTCTCTGGTCTCTCTCTGGTCTCTCTCTCTGGGCTCTCTCTGGTCTCTCTCTCTGGTCTCTCTCTGGTCTCTCTCTGGTCTCTCTCTGGTCTCTCTCTGGTCTCTCTCTGGTCTCTCTCTGGTCTCTCTCTCTGGGCTCTCTCTGGTCTCTCTCTGGTCTCTCGCTCTGGTCTCTCTCTGGTCTCTCTCTGGTCTCTCTCTCTGGGCTCTCTCTGGTCTCTCTCTGGTCTCTCTCTGGTCTCTCTCTGGTCTCTCTCTGGTCTCTCTCTGGTCTCTCTCTGGTCTCTCTCTGGTCTCTCTCTCTGGGCTCTCTCTGGTCTCTCTCTGGTCTCTCTCTGGTCTCTCTCTGTGGTCTCTCTCTGGTCTCTCTCTGGTCTCTCTCTGGTCTCTCTCTGGTCTCTCTCTGGTCTCTCTCTGGTCTCTCTCTGGTCTCTCTCTGGTCTCTCTCTCTGGTCTCTCTCTGGTCTCTCTCTCTGGTCTCTCTCTCTGGTCTCTCACTCTGGTCTCTCTCTCTGGTCTCTCTCTGGTATCTCCCTCTGGTCTCTCTCTCTGGTTTCTCTCTGGTCTCTCTCTGGTCTCTCTCTCTGGTCTCACTCTCTCTGGTCCCTCTCTCTGGTTTCTCTCTGGTCTCTCTCTCTGGTCTCTCTCTGGTCTCTCTCTCTGGTCTCTCTCTCTGGTCTCTCACTCTGGTATCTCTCTCTGGTCTCTCTCTCTGGTCTCTCTCTCTGGTCTCTCTCTCTGGTCTCTCTCTCTGGTCTCTCTCTCTGGTCTCTCTCTCTGGTCTCTCTCTGGTCTCTCTCTGGTCTCTCTCTCTGGTCTCTCTCTCTGGTCTCTCTCTCTGGTCTCTCTCTCTGGTATCTCTCTCTGGTATCTCTCTCTGGTCTCTCTCTCTGGTCTCTCTCTCTGGTCTCTCTCTCTGGTTTCTCTCTGGTCTCTCACTCTGGTCTCTCTCTGGTCTCTCTCTCTGGTCTCTCACTCTGGTATCTCTCTGGTATCTCTCTCTGGTCTCTCTCTGGTATCTCTCTCTGGTATCTCTCTGGTATCTCTCTCTGGTCTCTCTCTCTGGTCTCTCTCTGGTCTCTCTCTCTGGTCTCTCTCTGGTCTCTCTCTCTGGTCTCTCTCTCTGGTCTCTCTCTCTGGTATCTTTCTCTGGTCTCTCTCTCTGGTCTCTCTCTCTGGTCTCTCTCTGGTCTCTCTCTGGTATCTCTCTCTGGTCTCTCTCTCTGGTCTCTCTCTCTGGTCTCTCTCTCTGGTCTCTCTCTGGTCTCTCTCTCTGGTCTCTCTCTCTGGTCTCTCTCTCTGGTCTCTCTCTCTGGTCTCTCTCTCTGGTCTCTCTCTCTGGTCTCTCTCTCTGGTCTCTCTCTCTGGCTCTCTCTCTCTGGTCTCTCTCTCTGGTATCTCTCTCTGGTCTCTCTCTCTGGTCTCTCTCTGGTCTCTCTCTGGTCTCTCTGGTTCTCTCTGGTCTCTCTCTCTGGTCTCTCTCTCTGGTCTCTCTCTCTGGTCTCTCTCTCTGGTATCTCTCTCTGGTATCTCTCTCTGGTCTCTCTCTCTGGTCTCTCTCTCTGGTCTCTCTCTCTGGTCTCTCTCTGGTCTCTCTCTGGTCTCTCTCTCTGGTCTCTCTCTCTGGTCTCTCTCTCTGGTCTCTCTCTCTGGTCTCTCTCTCTGGTCTCTCACTCTGGTATCTCTCTCTGGTCTCTCTCTCTGGTCTCTCTCTGGTCTCACTCTCTCTGGTCCCTCTCTCTGGTTCTCTCTGGTCTCTCTCTGGTCTCTCTCTGGTCTCTCTCTCTGGTCTCTCTCTCTGGTCTCTCACTCTGGTATCTCTCTCTGGTCTCTCTCTGGTATCTCTCTCTGGTCTCTCTCTCTGGTTTCTCTCTGGTCTCTCTCTCTCTGGTCTCTCTCTGGTCTCACTCTCTCTGGTCCCTCTCTCTGGTTTCTCTCTGGTCTCTCACTCTGGTCTCTCTCTGGTCTCTCTCTCTGGTCTCTCTCTCTGGTCTCTCTCTCTGGTCTCTCTCTCTGGTCTCTCACTCTGGTATCTCTCTCGTATCTCTCTCTGGTCTCTCTCTCTGGTCTCTCTCTCTGGTCTCTCTCTCTGGTCTCTCTCTCTCTGGTCTCTCTCTCTGGTCTCTCTCTCTGGTCTCTCTCTGGTCTCTCTCTATTCTCTCTCTCTGGTCTCTCTCTGGTCTCTCTCTCTGGTCTCTCTCTCTGGTATCTCTCTCTGGTATCTCTCTCTGGTCTCTCTCTCTGGTCTCTCTCTCTGGTCTCTCTCTCTGGTCTCTCTCTGGTCTCTCTCTCTGGTCTCTCTCTGGTCTCTCTCTCTGGTCTCTCTCTCTGGTCTCTCTCTCTGGTATCTCTCTCTGGTCTCTCTCTGGTATCTCTCTGGTATCTCTCTCTCTGGTCTATCTCTCTGGTCTATCTCTGGTATCTCTCTCTCTCTCTCTCTCTCTCTCTCTATCTCTCTCTGGTATCTCTCTCTGGTATCTCTCTCTGGTATCTCTCTCTGGTCTCTCTCTGGTATCTCTCTCTGGTCTCTCTCTCTGGTCTCTCTCTGGTCTCTCTCTCTGGTCTCTCTCTGGTCTCTCTCTCTGGTCTCTCTCTCTGGTCTCTCTCTCTGGTATCTCTCTCTGGTCTCTCTCTCTGGTCTCTCTCTCTGGTCTCTCTCTGGTCTCTCTCTGGTCTCTCTCTGGTCTCTCTCTGGTCTCTCTCTCTGGTCTCTCTCTCTGGTCTCTCTCTCTGGTCTCTCTCTCTGGTCTCTCTCTCTGGTCTCTCTCTCTGGTCTCTCTCTCTGGTCTCTCTCTCTGGTCTCTCTCTCTGGTCTCTCTCTCTGGTCTCTCTCTCTGGTCTCTCTCTCTGGTCTCTCTCTCTGGTCTCTCTCTCTGGTCTCTCTCTCTGGTCTCTCTCTCTGGTCTCTCTCTCTGGTCTCTCTCTCTGGTTCTCTCTCTCTCTCTCTCTGGTCTCTCTCTCTGGTCTCTCTCTCTCTCTGGTCTCTCTCTGGTCTCTCTCTGGTCTCTCTCTCTGGTCTCTCTCTCTGTCTCTCTCTCTGGTCTCTCTCTCTGGTCTCTCTCTCTGGTCTCTCTCTCTGGTCTCTCTCTCTGGTCTCTCTCTCTGGTTTCTCTCTCTGGTCTCTCTCTCTGGTCTCTCTCTCTGGTCTCTCTCTCTGGTCTCTCTCTCTGGTCTCTCTCTCTGGTCTCTCTCTCTGGTCTCTCTCTCTGGTCTCTCTCTCTGGTCTCTCTCTCTGGTCTCTCTCTCTGGTCTCTCTCTCTGTCTCTCTCTCTGGTCTCTCTCTCTGGTCTCTCTGGTCTCTCTCTCTGGTCTCTCTCTCTGGTCTCTCTCTCTGGTCTCTCTCTCTGGTCTCTCTCTCTGGTCTCTCTCTCTGGTCTCTCTCTCTGGTATCTCTCTCTGGTATCTCTCTCTGGTCTCTCTCTCTGGTCTCTCTCTCTGGTCTCTCTCTCTGGTCTCTCTCTCTGGTATCTCTCTCTGGTCTCTCTCTCTCGTCTCTCTCTTCTGGTCTCTCTCTGGTCTCTCTCTCTGGTCTCTCTCTCTGGTCTCTCTCTCTGGTCTCTCTCTCTGGTCTCTCTCTGGTCTCTCTGGTCTCTCTCTGGTCTCTCTCTGGTCTCTCTCTGGTCTCTCTCTGGTCTCTCTCTGGTCTCTCTCTGGTTCTCTCTCTCTGGTCTCTCTCTCTGGTCTCTCTCTCTGGTCTCTCTCTCTGGTCTCTCTCTCTGGTCTCTCTCTCTGGTCTCTCTCTCTGGTCTCTCTCTGGTCTCTCTCTCTGGTCTCTCTCTCTGGTCTCTCTCTCTGGTCTCTCTCTCTGGTCTCTCTCTCTGGTCTCTCTCTCTGGTCTCTCTCTCTCTGGTCTCTCTCTCTGGTCTCTCTCTCTGGTCTCTCTCTCTGGTCTCTCTCTGGTCTCTCTCTGGTCTCTCTCTGGTCTCTCTCTCTGGTCTCTCTCTCTGGTCTCTCTCTCTGGTCTCTCTCTGGTCTCTCTCTGGTCTCTCTCTGGTCTCTCTCTCTGGTCTCTCTCTGGTCTCTCTCTCTGGTCTCTCTCTGGTCTCTCTCTGGTCTCTCTCTGGTCTCTCTCTCTGGTCTCTCTCTCTGGTCTCTCTCTGGTGTCTCTCTGGTTCTGGTCTCTCTCTCTGGTCTCTCTCTGGTCTCTCTCTCTGGTCTCTCTCTCTGGTCTCTCTCTCTGGTCTCTCTCTCTGGTCTCTCTCTGGTCTCTCACTCTGGTCTCTCTCTCTGGTCTCTCTCTGGTCTCTCTCTCTGGTCTCTCTCTGGTCTCTCACTCTGGTCTCTCTCTCTGGTCTCTCTCTCTGGTCTCTCTCTCTGGTCTCTCTCTGGTCTCTCTCTCTGGTCTCTCTCTCTGGTCTCTTTCTCTGGTCTCTCTCTGGTCTCTCTCTGGTCTCTCTCTCTGGTCTCTCTCTCTGGTCTCTCTCTCTGGTCTCTCTGGTCTCTCTCTGGTCTCTCTCTCTGGTCTCTCTCTCTGGTCTCTCACTCTGGTCTCTCTCTCTGGTCTCTCTCTCTGGTCTCTCTCTCTGGTCTCTCTCTGGTCCCTCTGGTCTCTCTCTCTGGTCTCTCACTCTGGTCTCTCTCTCTGGTCTCTCTCTCTGGTCTCTCTCTCTGGTCTCTCTCTCTAACTCTATATGTGTGTTGTATTTCCTGTATTGATTTTCTAATTTGACATTTAAACAATAATCCTGCGCTTCTACCTCCAGGCCTCACGGGGGCGTCCTGCTTCCACACGCCCTTCTACACCTTCCACTTCATTTCCCAGAGTAAGTCGTGGTTTGAGGCTCAGCAGTTCTGCAGAGAGCACTACAGCGACCTCGCCACGGTCCGGGACCAGGACGACCTCCTCAGACTCAGACGCCACGGCCCCTTCACCGGCTACGCCTGGATCGGACTGTTCGACGACCCGGCCGCCTGGACGGACGTCGTGGGCAATGAGTCCAACTCCTGGAGATGGTCTGCCACCGGGAACACCAGCAGCAGCCGGTACCAGAACTGGTCACCAGGAGAACCTACATTTTCTGGAGCAGTGGAAGCGTGTTTGTACTTTCAATCCGGGCAGTGGCTCGACGGAAACTGTGCGGTTCCTCTTTACTTCGTTTGTTTCAGCGGTGAGTTTACATTTATCTGTGTATGGCCGTAAATCACAGCAGGAGTTATCTCAGAGGACTTTACAAAGACTTTACATAGATCAGAGAATCTGATCCTGGGAGCTCTGCTGTCTGGGGCTTCATGGTACACAGGTCTTTATGCCCCTGGTAGGGCCCCCCATGGTACACAGGTCTTAATGCCCCTGGTAGGGCCCCTCATGGTACAAAGGTCTTTATGCCCCTGGTAGGGCCCCCCATGGTACAAAGGTCTTAATGCCCCTGGTAGGGCCCCCATGGTACAAAGGTCTTAATGCCCCTGGTAGGGCCCCCCATGGTACAAAGGTCTTTATGCCCCTGGTAGGGCCCCCATGGTACAAAGGTCTTTATGCCCCTGGTAGGGCCCCCCATGGTACAAAGGTCTTAATGCCCCTGGTAGGGCCCCCCATGGTACAAAGGTCTTTATGCCCCTGGTAGGGCCCCCATGGTACAAAGGTCTTTATGCCCCTGGTAGGGCCCCCCATGGTACAAAGGTCTTAATGCCCCTGGTAGGGCCCCCATGGTACAAAGGTCTTTATGCCCCTGGTAGGGCCCCCCATGGTACAAAGGTCTTAATGCCCCTGGTAGGGCCCCCCATGGTACAAAGGTCTTTATGCCCCTGGTAGGGCCCCCCATGGTACAAAGGTCTTAATGCCCCTGGTAGGGCCCCCCATGGTACAAAGGTCTTTATGCCCCTGGTAGGGCCCCCCATGGTACAAAGGTCTTAATGCCCCTGGTAGGGCCCCCCATGGTACAAAGGTCTTTATGCCCCTGGTAGGGCCCCCATGGTACAAAGGTCTTTATGCCCCTGGTAGGGCCCCCCATGGTACAAAGGTCTTAATGCCCCTGGTAGGGCCCCCATGGTACAAAGGTCTTTATGCCCCTGGTAGGGCCCCCCATGGTACAAAGGTCTTAATGCCCCTGGTAGGGCCCCCCATGGTACAAAGGTCTTTATGCCCCTGGTAGGGCCCCCCATGGTACAAAGGTCTTAATGCCCCTGGTAGGGCCCCCCATGGTACAAAGGTCTTAATGCCCCTGGTAGGGCCCCCCATGGTACAAAGGTCTTAATGCCCCTGGTAGGGCCCCCCATGGTACAAAGGTCTTAATGCCCCTGGTAGGGCCCCCCATGGTACAAAGGTCTTTATGCCCCTGGTAGGGCCCCTCATGGTACAAAGGTCTTTATGCCCCTGGTAGGGCCCCCCATGGTACAAAGGTCTTAATGCCCCTGGTAGGGCCCCCCATGGTACAAAGGTCTTAATGCCCCTGGTAGGGCCCCCCATAAGGCTTTGGTGCAGAGAGGACTGGGCAGCGGTCAAAGCGGAGACCTTGGTGACCCAGTCACACACACAGCCTATGGATGTTGGGACTGGGGGAGGAGCCTGAGCTCGTGGGGGAGGAGCCTGAGCTCGTGGGGGAGGAGCCTGAGCTCGTGGGGGAGGAGCTTGAGCTCGTGGGGGAGGTCGAGAGATACCGACTAGGGATAGTCGGCCTCACCTCCACACACAGCTTGGGCTCTGAACCCAACTCCTTGAGAGCGGTTGGACGCTCCTCTTTTCTGGTGTTTCCGGCGGGGAGAGGCGGCGAGCGGCGAGCCCCCCATCTCAGCTCCACGTGTTGGAGTTCTCCCCGGTGAATGAGAGGGTCGCGTCCCTCCGCCTCCGGGTGGGGGACAAGTCTCTCACTGTTGTGACGGCCTACGGGCCTAACAGCAGTGCAGAGTACTTGGCCTTCTTGGAGTCCTTGTGAGGTGTATGGGACAGTCCACCGCCCGGGGACTCCGTTATGCTCCTGGGGGACTCCAACCCCCCAGTGGGGGACACCAGTGACACTTGGAGAGGGGTGAAGGGGAAGAACGGCTCTGATCTGAACCCGAGCGGTGTTCACCAACACCATGTTCCAGCACAAGGGTGTCCACCAGGGGGCGCCAGGACCAGAGGCCGGAGGTCGATGTTGTCGTATCATCTGACCTTCGGCCGCATGTCTCGGACACTTGGGTGAATAGTACCACACATGGACCATGGAGACCACACATGGACCATGGAGACCACACATGGACCATAGAGACCACACATGGACCATGGAGACCACACATGGACCATGGAGCACTCACATGGACCATAGAGACCTCACATGGACCATAGAGACCTCACATGGACCATAGAGACCACACATGGACCATAGTGACCACACATGGACCATAGAGACCTCACATGGACCATAGAGACCTCACATGGACCATAGAGACCACACATGGACCATGGAGACCACACATGGACCATAGAGACCACACATGGACCATGGAGACCACACATGGACCATGGAGACCACACATGGACCATGGAGCACTCACATGGACCATAGAGACCTCACATGGACCATAGAGACCTCACATGGACCATAGAGACCACACATGGACCATAGAGACCTCACATGGACCATAGAGACCTCACATGGACCATAGAGACCTCACATGGACCATAGAGACCACACATGGACCATGGAGACCACACATGGACCATGGAGACCGCACATGGACCATGGAGACATCACATGGACCATGGAGACCGCACATGGACCATGGAGCACTGTACTTACACCTCCTTCTTGCCTCAGGTTTCCCTCGTCCCGGCTTCAAAAACTTCACGTTTGTTGCGATTGCCAAGACATGGGCGGAGTCTCGGAGCTACTGTCGACAGCACCACACAGACCTGGCCATGATCCAAGACCAGAGCGAGAACTCTGCGGTCTTAGCCATCTCGTCCACGTACCAGGTGTGGGTGGGTCTGTACCGAGAGCCCTGGAGGTGGTCCGACGGCAGCACCAGCTCCTTCACCAACTGGATGAACGTCCAACCAGGAAACTCCCGGGGAATCGAGCACTGTGTCCTGAAAAACATATACCATCAGTGGAACGATGGTGTTTGTTCTCAAACTTATCCCTTCTTCTGTCAGAGAGGTGAAACCAGAACATACAACTAGTTACCCTGGTCTTACCACACCATGGTACTCATTTCATTTCATACTAAGGTCTGGATCTGCTCCATTGACTCTGTGAACAGGTGGGAGGGGCTCCTTTTGCAGATTGAAACCATTGGATCTGAGTTTACCTTTACTGGAATTTATCCTAGCTTTAGCATTTAGCCTAGCTTTATTATTTAGCCTAGCTCTAGCATTTAGCCTAGCTTTAGCATGTAGCCTAGCTTTAGCATTAGCCTAGCTTTAGCCATATCCTTTGTCACTAACGGAGCCACATCTTTGCCTCAGACATTTTCTAAACATTCCTCTTGCTCCGGCTTCAGTTTCTTGATATTTGGATTGAACCAGAACAGATTATTTTACTATCGCATTCTCCATGGTCCAGAGTTTACACATGGTAAGACCAGACGTACATGTAGGAAATGACCATGGTCCAGAGTTTACACATGGTAAGACCAGACGTACATGTAGGAGATGACCATGGACCAGAGTTTACACATGGTAAGACCAGACGTACATGTAGGAGATGATCATGGACCAGAGTTTACACATGGTAAGACCAGACGTACATGTAGGAGATGATCATGGACCAGAGTTTACACATGGTAAGACCAGACGTACATGTAGGAGATGTTCATGGTCCAGAGTTTACACATGGTAAGACCAGACGTACATGTAGGAGATGACCATGGACCAGAGTTTACACATGGTAAGACCAGACGTACATGTAGGAGATGACCATGGACCAGAGTTTACACATGGTAAGACCAGACGTACATGTAGGAGATGATCATGGACCAGAGTTTACACATGGTAAGACCAGACGTACATGTAGGAAATGATCATGGACCAGAGTTTACACATGGTAAGACCAGACGTACATGTAGGAAATGATCATGGACCAGAGTTTACACATGGTAAGACCAGACGTACATGTAGGAGATGATCATGGACCAGAGTTTACACATGGTAAGACCAGACGTACATGTAGGAAATGATCATGGACCAGAGTTTACACATGGTAAGACCAGACGTACATGTAGGAAATGACCATGGACCAGAGTTTACACATGGTAAGACCAGACGTACATGTAGGAAATGATCATGGACCAGAGTTTACACATGGTAAGACCAGACGTACATGTAGGAAATGATCATGGACCAGAGTTTACACATGGTAAGACCAGACGTACATGTGGGAGATGATCATGGACCAGAGTTTACACATGGTAAGACCAGACGTACATGTAGGAAATGATCATGGACCAGAGTTTACACATGGTAAGACCAGACGTACATGTGGGAGATGATCATGGACCAGAGTTTGTGTAGCCGGTCTCTCCGCGTTGTGTATTGTGTGGGTAGATGCGTCAAGAATCAAACCAGACACAGGGGTTTGTCATTCGGGGGATTTACTGTTGGAAACACAAAAATCTAAATGCTGTTTACGCCAGTCCCTGACACAGATCTGCACAGACAGAAGACGTGCCACAGACGACAGTGAGACCATGCTCGCTAGCTTAAATACACTTTTTCAAAGTGCTATACTTCAACAAAAAACGCTATTTCACACATTTACATTAAACATAAACTTTGGCAAGTGCTTTGTAAATCATGAACAACAACAATAATCGAACTAAATCAATTTTATATGAAATATTTTATAACTTGAATCACAAGAGATTTTACTGCTTACCTCCCCTAAGCAACTGAAGGGGAAGCCCGCGAACCCACAGGAAGTGGCGACACCGCCAAAATAAAAGCCTCGATTTGAAAATATACAGAAATAAACTTAATAAAATACCAGTAAATACTAACAAAAAATATGATTTTGGTGAAATTGACAAGACTCAGACCACATGGGCTACATTTACACATGGTAAGACCAGGCGAACAACTAGTGAACCATGACCTTCACACACGTGACAGTTTTAATCACTAAAAAGTGCTTAATTAGTGTATAATCTATGGTTGATTATCTTGTAACTGGTATTTATTATTACTAAGTCATCTGTGTGTTTACAACTGTGTCGACTCGGTTAACATGTTTGTTTGTTTCCTACTCGAGCTGAAAAACGTAATGGAAAGGTTCTACTCGTGAACATGAAGGTCCAGAGTGGAACAGACCTGTCGCAGCCTGAAGTTTGGACTCAGATGCTTCAGAAGGTAAAAAACAGACGACATTAGGAGTGGACCGACAGTGTTGGCCCAGTTTTCCTTTGATCCCAGGTCGAAAAGAGCGAAGTTTGACAGATTTAGTTTAACTTTAGTGTCTCCTCAAACATGTCCAGAGTCGTACATGGAAGAAAACAGCAAAAAACACACATTTAAGCCCAAAATGGTGATGTCACACAAACATTACTGAGCTAGAGGAGTTTTAGTGTAAGTCAATAGGAGCCAGAGCACGTTAGCATGTTAGCATAGCCCATAGTCCGCCTGTTTACAGTCCATGGTCATCAAACTCTTTTCAGTACACCCTCTGTGTTTGTAAAGGTCCATTAGCGCTTTTACATGTTATAAGTAAAATGTTTTCTTTGACAACTTCTGGTCTAGACAGGAAGTACGTGGCTAATGCTAAGTGAGCTAAGTGCTAAGTTAGCTAAGTGCTAAGTGAGCTAAGTGCTAAGTGAGCTAAGTGCTAAGTCATCTACGGTCTTCGAGGATATTATCTGGAGGGTGTTGTGTAAACCTGTCGTATCTATCTACACTACGAGAGGGTTCTGGGTTCGACTCCCGGGCAACGCAGGGCCTTTCTGTGAGCAGTTTGCATGTTCTCCCAGCGTATCTGTGTCTAACGAGGCTTTCACACGCCAACGCTGAAACGCTGAAGCCCCGCTCACCAGACGCGCATTCTCTAGTTTTCAGACGCAGAGGTCTTCACACCAGAACGTCCTGACGCGAGCCCGAAGTACCGGAAGTAGCCGGCCGGCTCTAATGCTAACAGAGCTATGCTAGCGGCTTCTTGTGTACAGATCTTCTCCAATATGCAGCTTTGCAGCGTGTCTTTGCTCACAGACATTCCACGGACTTTATATAACAGCAGTATGTGTTCACGGTGACTTTATATAACAGCAGTATGTGTTCACGGAGGTGACTTTATATAACAGCAGTATGTGTTCACGGAGGTGACTTTATATAACAGCAGTATGTGTTCACAGAGGTGACTTTATATAACAGCAGTATGTGTTCACGGAGGTGACTTTATATAACAGTAGTATGTGTTCACGGAGGTGACTTTATATAACAGCAGTATGTGTTCACGGAGGTGACTTTATATAACAGTAGTATGTGTTCACGGAGGTGACTTTATATAACAGCAGTATGTGTTCACGGAGGTGACTTTATATAACAGCAGTATGTGTTCACGGAGGTGACTTTATATAACAGCAGTATGTGTTCACGGAGGTGACTTTATATAACAGTAGTATGTGTTCACGGAGGTGACTTTATATAACAGTAGTATGTGTTCACGGAGGTGACTTTATATAACAGCAGTATGTGTTCACGGAGGTGACTTTATATAACAGCAGTATGTGTTCACGGAGGTGACTTTATATAACAGCAGTATGTGTTCACGGAGGTGACTTTATATAACAGTAGTATGTGTTCACGGAGGTGACTTTATATAACAGTAGTATGTGTTCACGAAGGTGACTTTATATAACAGTAGTATGAACACACTCTAAGCCGTTGCATAAGGTCACAGGAGCATGACAACCCATATTTTCACAAGCACAGAGTCCCCCATTGTCAGCCCTGGTTTGAGTTCTGGTGAAGTCTGGTGTGGGTCCTGTTTTGGCTGTTTACAGTATGTTCAGTCTGCTCGCTCAGTCCGCTAATGTCCCCGTGACCACTTTACTGCTCTCTGATTGGTTGTCGCACGAACGTCCCGAGGAAAGAATGAGCAGAATCCATCTCCTGTGGGCGTTGATTTTTCGCTCCTGCTCCTCCCTTTTCACTTTCCCACCAAGTCCGTGCGTCATTATTGAACAGTCCGTGCGTCTCTACAGAGCAGTCCGTGCGTCTCTACAGAACAGTCCGTGCGTCTCTACTGAACAGTCCGTGCGTCTCTACTGAACAGTCCGTGCGTCTCTACTGAACAGTCCGTGCGTCTCTACTGAAGAGTCCGTGCGTCTCTACAGAACAGTCCGTGCGTCTCTACTGAACAGTCCGTGCGTCTCTACTGAACAGTCCGTGCGTCTCTACTGAAGAGTCCGTGCGTCTCTACTGAAGAGTCCGTGCGTCTCTACTGAACAGTCCGTGCGTCTCTACTGAACAGTCCGTGCGTCTCTACTGAACAGTCCGTGCGTCTCTACTGAACAGTCCGTGCGTCTCTACTGAACAGTCTGTGCGTCTCTACTGAACAGTCCATGCGTCTCTACTGAACAGTCCATGCGTCTCTACAGAACAGTCTGTGTGTCTCTACTGAACAGTCCGTGCGTCTCTACTGAACAGTCTGTGCGTCTCTACTGAACAGTCCGTGCGTCTCTACTGAACAGTCCGTGCGTCTCTACTGAACAGTCCGTGCGTCTCTACTGAACAGTCTGTGCGTCTCTACTGAACAGTCCGTGCGTCTCTACAGAACAGTCCGTGCGTCTCTACTGAACAGTCCGTGCGTCTCTACTGAAGAGTCCGTGCGTCTCTACTGAACAGTCCGTGCGTCTCTACAGAACAGTCCGTGCGTCTCTACTGAACAGTCCGTGCGTCTCTACTGAACAGTCCGTGCGTCTCTACTGAACAGTCCGTGCGTCTCTACTGAACAGTCCGTGCGTCTCTACTGAACAGTCCGTGCGTCTCTACTGAAGAGTCCGTGCGTCTCTACTGAACAGTCCGTGCGTCTCTACAGAACAGTCCGTGCGTCTCTACTGAACAGTCCGTGCGTCTCTACTGAACAGTCCGTGCGTCTCTACTGAACAGTCCGTGCGTCTCTACAGAGCAGTCTGTGCGTCTCTACAGAACAGTCCGTGCGTCTCTACAGAACAGTCCGTGCGTCTCTACTGAAC